CACTAGCATAGTTAAGAATTATTCTTTAAAATTGTAAAGATAATTTACATTAATTCTGATTTCCAATATTTTCTATTTTAAAAAATTAAAAAAATTTTAAAACAACATATTGCTTAGATGAATTAATGATTTACTTTGACAAAACAATGATTCCATTGCTTGTATTATTATATGTACATTGTACAAGTTAATTCATTTGCGCAGATTTGGTTCTTTTCATTTTTAGAAAAATCCCAAACATTGATGAAATAACGATGACGCAGATGTTTGAAATAGTCTTCATTGAATTGAATTAATTAAAATTATAATAAAACTACACATCGTAACCAGAACCACCATGTGTTCTAAGCAATTTCTGTGAGCTATCAAATAGAATTAAATATAGATGATAGAGTTTTTACTACTTTTTATTCTTCTGTACGAATACTAATTTGGTATTCTTAATGAGATTGAACTTATGTCTCTTGATATAGTACAGGGTGGATAATAAAATTGCAGTAATTCCAATAACCTAAAAAAATATATATTTTGAATATCTCTTATTTTTACAAGATTATATAAACCAAAATTACATGCAAATATCTTAAAAAAAATCATTGCTTGCCAAATTTAAATTCTTTTTACAAGATTTATAAAATTTTAACAATCAAGATTTAATAATATGTTTATACGATTACTAATTATATGAGTATTTCAATATTAATGTTAACATAAACATAAAAAAGCACATACATTAAAATTAAAAAATTAAATTTACTATTTATAATTTACACAGAATAACTTAAGATAACTTAAAATCACAAGCTTTAAAGTTCTACTATTATTTTATTCAATTTTGAGTTGAAATTAATATAATTATATCATTTGACGATTCTATATTTCTGTACACCAAAATCTATTTTAATTGCTTAAATAAATATATTTTATTTATTATTAAATTTTTATTCAGAATGATATTTTATTTCAATTATAATATATATTATTGAATACATAATTAAAAAAATTTTGTTCAATATATTTTTATTTAAAATTTATATAATTATGTATTGAAAAAACTTACTTTAATAGCTAATCTCTTCCTTTCATCAAATTCTTGATTTGCAGTCCACACAAGGAATGTGACAACATCTTTGGCTAATTGAGAAGTTGTTGCTGGTGTTCCATCTTCATATTCTATTATTTCATTGTATATTGGCTTTAAAATGAATAAAAAATTTTATAAAAATTATTAGTAAAATTTTTTATTAGAATATTTTTTATATAGAAGTGTATCACACTAACCTGAGCCATTCCAATAGCACCACCTGGGAAATAAGGATTGTAATATTGACCTTCCCTTAAATTCATTCCAGCAGGTTCTTCATAATAGCCAGTTAATAATGAAAAGACATAATCCTAAAATTATCATTAAATTATTATTGTTATTATTAAGTCATTATTTGATATATCTTTATATTATATAATGTTAACAATAATAATTTTTTCAGGTACTTTTATTAAAATTTTAGAGAATTATTTTTTATTAAAGTGTAATAATTAATTTGTTATCAATAACATTATAAAAAAAAATTATAATTTATAAAACAATAAAATTTAAACAATTGTAGCAATTATAAAATTATTAAATTACCCAACCTATTTCTATATTATACATGCTTAAATAACTATTAATTATTAATAAGAATAATTATTTTGTTAAATATATAAAATAAAAAGATCAGTTTTCTGTTAAATTGGTATAAAATGTAATTTATAAAATATCGATTTAAATAAGATCAATAATTTACTTATTTTTAATAATTAAAAAAGTCAAAATAATAATATGAATAATAATATTCATAATTTATAGAATCTTTATAAAAAATTTTAAATAACAACAACCAAAAATTATATTACAATGTTACGTTTATATTAAATATAAAATTATATAAGCATAAAGTAAAATTTTAAGTACCTGTCCGCCGTGTCGAGCATTAATAATATACGTAAGATCGGGTGGATAGGCACCATTATTTGCTGCTCGAGCAGCTTCTTCATTTGGATATGGAGATGGCATAGTATCAAAGAGCTTGCCAGGGCGCATAAAATATTCACCAACATCATTCGGGCCATCTTGTACCTAGTATTGTTAATAAAATTCAAGTTTCAACATAATATAAAAGTAACCATAAATTTTTTATAATGCATTTTTATATTAAATATTTATAAATATCAATAAAAATTATGAATAAATAATTAAACTTACTTGAACTTCCTCAGCTAAAGCTTTAGCCTCTTCTTCTGTATGAGTTACATTTACCAGATGACGAAATGCAACGTATTCTAAACTGTGACAGGCAGAGCAAACATTTTTGTAGACCTCCCATCCTCGTCGAATACTATAAACATTAATTATACATGTTTATGTAATATTTTTAACATGTATTAATTATAAAATTTAGTAGTAAAGCCATTAATAATAATACCTAAAATTAAAGTTTGAAGCAATTAAACAATTAAGATACTAGTAAATTAAATATAATATTTATTAACGATCTGACAACTAAATACAATATAATGTAATGTTTGAATTTGCTGTATAAAATATAGATATATAATCTCTATGATATTATCTTTGAATTATTAGAATAAATGGTAATCTAAAGAAAAATATAATAACTTTTAAAATATATAGAAAAATAGAAATAAAGATTTGTATAGTATATTCTGAAAAAATATAGTATTAACCTAGCATGATCTAAAGATGAAAAAATCCCAGAGAAACTCCAGGGATATGAAGGTGGATGTGCTATTATTTCAACAGCTTTTACAGATTGATCTAAAGTAAATAAAAGAGTTCCAATGCCTCCAGTAGCAACACCTACACATGTTGCCATCTGCAATAGAAAATTATTATTCATACCCCATAAATTTATTGAAATTTTGTGTTTAATAAATAATGGGAAAAATCAGTTAATTTTATATGATAATGATAAGAGAACAAATATCTTCGTTAAAAGATAGTAAACTTACCACTTTTCGACCTCTGGACCATTCTTTCGTTGTCGAAAATTTACTGGCCTGAAAACAAATTGTATATTAAATAATGCTAATTTGAAGCATTTTAAATTAATTTATTTCAAGTGAACATTTTATTAATATTATTATTAAATACTACATTTTAAAAATAACACATTTATAAATAAAAATAAAAAATGAAATTTGATCTTATAATCAATATTTATATATCTATTAATATATTTATATATATATATATATATATTAATATTTAAAAATTATATGATAAAATAAATATAGCCCATATAATAAATAATAGTGTATAATAGAAGTAAAACATGAAAATTTAATTATAGAAGAGTTGACATCTACATTTTATCATTTAATTATAACTTTTTTTAAGAATGTCACATTTTTTTAAAGTTATTATTTAGACAACAGTTGATTAAATATGTGTAAATTTTTTCTATTTTGTAAATGTTAAACATAAATTAATATAGTGATTCTATACAGTGATTTTGTATGTGTTTTAAAGGAATTTATATTGTTTTTAAAACATGCATTTATATAATAATTCTTTTTTTTGTAAAGAATGAAAATATGATAATTAATAATTGTTAATAAGTTATTGTAAACACTCACTTGTAAAAAAGTCCTGTAAAAAATTCATTAAAAGAAGTATAGATTATTGGAATGTTTACATCAATATATTTATTAATAAAAATAAATTTAATACATACACCTTTATAATAAAATTTAAAAATTTAGAAAATATTAATAGCCAGAAAATTTATTAATGTTCTGCTGTCAATTTATGTAAGAAATTTAAGTATTGTCAATAATTAGAATTAAGAATAACTAGCACCAATTGATTAAAAATGTTTGAATGACATAACTCATTGTGATAAAGACAATTGAATCAAAGCATGTTTCTATTTGCTAGTAGTTTATCCCTTTGCAACTATGACAATGATAAAATTATTGCATCTATGAGAATAACTAAAATTTACATAAAAGATTCTGTCATCCGTCCAAAAAATGTAAACTAGAGCTCTGCTCTATATAAGCTTAGCTATAAAAATTCGCTGAATCCGTTCATAAAACTTCAAAGAAAATCCTAAGAAGCTATATCAATTTTCTCGGACTCCAGCATGATGATTTATAGAATCAGAGCGTTATAAACTAAATGCTTACAAAACAAATAGTAACTCAATACGATCACATATATGTGTGCAATGAACAGATTTTTCATAGTTGCCCTCGCGAGTTACATAACGCCAAAGAAATTCGAACAGAGCTATAATCTCATAAGTTCCGTCGAGGAGGCCCACTCACGATCTAGGGAAATTTTCAGGATGCAGGAAAGCCCTGGCTAGGTAACCGCAATGGAGATAAAAATGATTGGCTCTCTCAGCAGCCGACAAGGTGTGATAAGGTACATGCAATAAAAAAAGGGTCATTTTTCTATTCGACACCTCGCATTCAACTCATCGGAAGTCGCGAAATTTTATGGAATTAAGAATGGAACCCTTCCGTGTCTCGTTCAAATACACTTCCATCCTACGCCGACTTTGAAGTCCTGCTGTGGCTTACCTGATTGAAGAACGAGCCGCTCGACGGCTTTAAAAGGCCTAATCGACAAATCCGTCCCAGGGATGCCGCCATCTTGGCCAGAGGTGTGATTCGCGGCCGACCGGAATACAGCGCTGGCGATCAGCGCTAAATGCCGGCTCCTTGTCGTGTGTGCGTGACAACACACTAGAAATTGAGCGAGTCGTACGCTTTTCTCAGGCTTCTTCTTTAACCGCGTGCGCTTGCGCCAAAGCGACTTCAATGCCCGCACCGAGCTCCTTATGATTTTCGAAAAAAAATGGAGACAGAATCTAGGCACGTGATGATCGCCGGTTTTTTTGAATGCAGCTAGATCGTTGTTGCGCTTTCCACCAAACAAGAAAATTACAGAATATAACGAAATGGGATTAATTCATTCAACACTCAATTCCGATAAAATCTTTCTTCATATACATACAAATTTGATAAAATACGTTTTATTTTTTTGTGCAAGAATGCTATTATTGACGCTACAAGTCGATTTTTATATTTGAAAATTAAAGTGTCGAAGCGTTTTTTTTTTTAAACAAATGACTAAACGAATGGCACGGTAAAATTGAAATAGCTCATCAACAACGTAAATAAATTTTTTTCCTATTAAAATCATGTTGATATTAGTCTACATTAATATTAATATAATAAATATAAAAAGCCAATAATAATACATGTGGTTCATTTAGTAGAAATCTCGTATTTAAAAACATAACCTATAATAATATTGAAGTGCTGTATTTTATATATTATTTTTATTAGAATTTTATAACTAAAGAATCAACTATTCTATAATGTCAGCATTAAGGGCGACTAAATTCTGCATAATTATTATTAATAAGTAATGAAATTCGTAATTAAAATGCAATTAGTGCATTTATTATATATCTTGGTTAATCCGGCAAATTGTTGTTTTAATATAATAAAATAATATATATAATAAAAGCTTAGTATCGTCTTATTTATAACATGCAAATCTTAAAATTATTTAAAGGGAGTTAAATATCATGTGCTATAAATGTATCGAATTTAATAATTAAATGACTACATTGTAGACAAAATATACAAATTAATGTAATATAATTCATTAATAACAAACTTTTCTATTATTTCATTATTTTTAATTAATTTAATTATTAACTTTTGTAAAATAAAAAAATTATACTATAATGTGATTTCATTCTATAAAATGCATATTAATTATGTATCAATGCTCTGTCCTATTCATTCTCATATCAGTCTAAACTTTACTTACACAGAATTCAAATTCCAAGTAATAATATTATGCGTTGTCACAAAAAGTAATTTCTTAATTACCTAAAGATTAAATATTATCCATGTTATATGAAAACAATGTAAACTATGTAATAAATAGTTGAACAGTGCTGAATGTTGATACATTATATTTATATACAATAAGCACATGATTAAAAATATCTAAGATTTACAAATGAAACTTATTAAATTCGGATAAATCCTTTCAACTAACCGAACTTTATGATTTATTATTTATAGTACTAATTTCATTTAAGTATCTACAAATATTCTAATACTAACTCGATGTATTAAATAAGAGATTAATAATATAAGAAAATACTAAAATAAAACAATAAATCTTATACAGATATTGTTTAAGCTAGAGACGTATGTAATAATGGATACAAATTATAAAATTATAAATTAATTATTTATTAATGAAAACGTGTTGAGATTGGATATTATTATTGGGCATTTATCAGCCGTATTTAGATAATACATTCAATTGAAAGTTAATAGGTTCTCAAATTTATTATGAAATGAGCTGAAAATAGAGGAATATAAAATTTGATTGGAATTTTAATATATTTTATTATTTTTCTATATAATGCACCTTTTGTTTCGCGTGTATATAAATGCATATTTTTATATTATGTCTGTTGTAATCATATAAATTATAAATAATAGTTATAAAGAAAAAAACTATGTAGATTTTTGTACTCGCAACAGATTTTATAATGTTTAATATTTAGTGTATTCCTGAAAATCATTTCGGAGTTGTGTCATATCATTATTTCGTGTTTGAATTTCAATCATATTATTTTTCAATAAAAATTGGCACTACTAAAATTTATTTTTAAATTAAAAGAAAAAAAAATTGTATTCTACTTTTAAAAGTTCAGCAATTAACTCTTCAGCTCTATTCATCATAGCCATTTATTATACTTGTATCATAATGAAATTTGGAAATTCTTTTGAATTTTTCTTTTCTCTTCTGCACTTCAACCATATGAATGTATATAAAATCTAAATAATAAAATATATGTATTTATGAAACTTATCATACAATATGTTTATCATTTAAAGATTAGAAGTATTATTATATTATAATCGAATTATAAAAATAATTATACATAATTAAATAAACAATCTCAAAAACAAGTCTGATTTTTAATATTTATTTTCGCAATATCTATTTTGCTAATTAAATGTACACACGAATTGCTTTTTTATTAAACTTTGCTATTAAATTCGACAAATAGTATTAATGTAAGAGAAAAAATGAATTTAGAATCTTTATTCTTAAAATCTTGACCTAATTTGTTTTAAAGAAATACATTTTTTTTTATCAATAAAAGAAGTGAATAAAAAGTTTCTCTGCAATCTTTTTAAATAATTATACTATTTATAATAACTGTAGTTTCTATTTAAATAAAATTGTAGAATGCATGTTTATGCAAAGAAAATTTAGTGTTAATTCTGAAGATATTATTTATATCTACATAATTTTATGACATTATATTTGCCATTCAATCTGCTATTCTGAAATTATAAAATTATAAATGAAAAAATATATGAAATAATAAAGTAAAAGATTACAATCATTCGTTTAAACTTATTAAAAGTAGAATTTGGGGTGCATGTGAACACATAAATTATAATTTTCAAATTATCACCAAGATATATTATTATTTTTCAACTTTAAATTACACGCTATATTGAAAATGAATTTTAATCAAAGCATGTAGTGTGTATGTATTTAATATTTTATGAATATCATCTCATGAATTCATATACGTGGCAGATATTTGCAAAAAAATATGCAATTTATATTGATCGCGCTTTTTATTATATTGTTTACCTTTAATTCAATTTTATATATTATAGATTTGTAATACTTGGTAAAATAAATGTAACCTTTTACTTCTTTAAATATTATTACGACGGTGATGAGATACATTTAATAATTAAATATGTATTCAGTATAATTTTATTTTGAATCAGCCACCATATATTTTAGCTAAGCTTTTCGCCACCAGTGTGTTTAAATTTCTAGCAAGCTCCCTAAAAACTAAAAACTAGTCATAATACCGGTCAATATATATGCTCTATCCTTTCAAGACTTTTCATTACTCCAGAAACTTTTGAATAAAATAATAATAAAAATATATATCGCTTTATCGCTTAATTGGTGCCATTAGGGTTTTTCGAAAGAATTTTTTAAACGAAATTATAATACAATCAAAGATTTTCTATTGATATGTTCCAAGTTCATGGAATGTTTAAATGATATTCAAGGATTAAAATTGCTCAGGAAGTTTAATACTTCAAAGTGTTCATTTAATTAAAATTATTTCACATTTAAATTAAAACGAAACAAAAAGTGTTCCTTAAATATGACTTTCCATACAATTATGGAGGTAGCTACCTTGACCGGCTCATTTGACTGTCAGCAACGCTGTTTACGGTCTCACGTGTAGCGCCACCAGTCCGAGAAATTTCGCCAACGAAAGTCAGTTTTGCCGCGGGGTGTAAGAGGGGGGGCCAGCTGGTGCGTCACGAACAGTGTCGTTGTCATATGGTGCCCGCCGCGAGAGGAATCCGCAAAGATGAGCCCAGGAAGGCCGGAGTTGGGTTCGAAGATAAGCCTGATATCGAAGGCTGACATTCGTTATGAAGGCAGATTGTTTACCGTCGACCCTCAAGAGTGTACCATCGCCTTGGCCAACGGTAAGCTCTTATCGAAATATCCAGCGAAACGCTTTAATTCCAAGATGGACGCGATGTTTTCTCTAGCGGCGTATTTAATCGACGCTTTGTTCTGTCTATGCCGCACGGCTTATCGTAAGCTTCTTCTCATCATCCTGTCAATTACGAGTATTAGTCACTCGATAGTTTGTCCCACAGTTTGCCAAGAGATTCAAACTAGAATATGTATCCCCCGAGTCTATCTTTCCCCGGTTTCTTCTCTCTTTCTATTTCGCTCTGTCGCTTTTTACACGCTTCGATGTCCGCAGGATCACTTAACCCGCTACTTAAGTATGAACGCTTCGCTTTATAAAAAAAAGACGAAGTGAAAATGAAAAAAATTAACTCCGACTACTAGTATGATTAAATTAATTTAAACGTTTTTTCCCTCGTAATTGTTGCAATGCCTAAGTGCAACATTTTAATGCGTTTAAAATAAACTTTGAGTTGATTTTTAGATTAAATTTCATTTAATAAATAAAATTATACTTTTTTTTTTAATTGAATTTTATAGCCTGAATTTAATTAATGTTAGGAACGTAAATTTTAAAAAATTTTTAGCCAATGTGCAAGACTCATGATCTCTTACTACCTATTTATGGTCATATATATATATATATATTTTTTTTTTTTAATTAATATATATGAGTATGCGCAGTCGTACATGCATGTGCATTGCATATATGTATATATATATATATATATATATATGAATATTCGCAGTGTGATACCTACACATTTAGCATGCATTAATATATGTATGTATAAGTGTAGTATACAAAAGCTGAACTTAATAACATTTAATTTGAATGAAGTTAAAATATGCTTCAGTTTATACGTATTATAAATGTTGCAGAAATTTGTAGATTTATAGTTTTTAATTAATTATTAAATACATAATTTGAACTTGATTAATTTAAATTAAAACAAAAATCGTATAAATCGTTGCAATGTTTATTATGAATACGTCAATGTTTACATTGTGTTATTTCATTCTCCTTGAGCGACCATGTCTATAATACGTGTATACAAAATTTTACATTAAATATTGATTTGAGTTTATACATTTGAATATGAAAATATGATACCTTGGTTAATATTCCAATTTGGCTGATTTGAAATTGTCTGGAATTCCATTTATACAATAATATAGTTTCATTTGATAATCTTAAAAGGTTCTAATAATTAAAATGTAAAACAAAGTTTTATATTTTTAGTTTATGTTGACATTTTATGTATGAAAAATGCTACAATTAACTATAATTAATGAATTTAAAAAAATTTTATATAAAAATTGTAATAATTAAAGCCATTAATGAAAATTCAATATATTGTATATTCTTATGTTTTAGTCAAATCTTTTGGTACTGAAGATCGTGAAACCCAATTCCCTGTAGCACCACAAAATCAAGTGTATGAATACATTCTATTTCGTGGTTCTGATATCAAGGACATTAGAGTTGTCAACAATGTTAGCTCGTTGCCCAATGATCCAGCTATTGTTCAGGTGAAATAATATTTTTTTAATTATGAAATAATGTAAAATGTATTCCAATTTTTATTTTTATTATATTATTATTTTTATAATAATAAGTTAATATTTTTTATAACTATTTTTATAATAGTGATTTATTGATTTTAATTATATTGTATAATAATGAGTAAAATTATAATACTTATATTTTAAGCTATGAGTATTATTTATTAATATATTTTTAACCTTATTTCTATTATATAAATGCTATAAAAATATTAAAATAAAAGTACTAATTATATAAGTTTACTTTTCAAATCACAATTTATATATGATATATACATTAATCATATTATTTTAAAAATTTTGCAATACTAATTTAATGTATAATTTTTATAAATTATATTATTTCATAACATATAAGAGTTAAAACATTTAAAGTTCATAACTTATTTATGGAAAAAAATTCTTAATACTTATTTTTTAATTTATTTTATATACATGACACATTTAAAAAACAATACCATAATATTTCTTTTAATTTTATAAATAAAAGATTAATTACGTAAAATTTACGTGTCTCTAAAATCAAGTGTATTTATTATTAATTTGTTTTATAAAATAAAATAAAAAATAAAAATGAAATAAGATTGAAATATCACAAAAGTCATGAAAACATATATGAAACTTCCACACAGTTATGACAGAGTATTTAATACTTTTAATTTATATACTTCTTTACAAAATGAAATATATACTAAACATTATTTAAAAAGTTTAATTCTTATCGGCATACTTAACATCTTAAATTATAAATATAAATGTTTATATATTGAAATTCTGCAACATAATTCTAATGAAATTCATATAAAAGTATAACTTGTTGTGATATACTTGTTAACAAATTTTAATGTCATAAAGG